CTTTGTCTTAATTTACTTTTTCCTTATTTTGAACAAAAAGTAATTAATACTAGCTTACAATCTAATCGATAATCAAGTTTAAAGCTTGTAAGAAAATACAATTCCTCTTCGCTAATGATGGCTTGTATTTACAATTAGTGCTGATAAGTATACATTCTTTAGACTAAATTTAACTTAAATGTTTATTTCTACTTTTAATTAGTAGCAAAACTTTGCAACAACACATAATTTTATTTACCTTGCGCAAGCCTCACGTGCGTTGCCAAGTAATGTTATGTGCCAAAATCAGCCAAAACTCTGTCCATCATATCTCTTTTTTCTAAAGCTCATTATTGACGAATTATGTTACATCTTTTAAGCCAATATACTAAAAATTGATACTATAAGGAATACAAGAAATTAAGGAAAATTGCAACACTTACATCATAAATAATCGCTGTTGTTGGTAAAGATATTATCGGTACCATCTTTTCTTTACTACTTTAATTTTAATGACAACTTAGCTACAAATAATATAAATTAGTCATATCAAAACTATGAATCAATGATTACAGGCGCTGAAGTCCTTATAAAAAAAAGCGCAGTGCATTCAGGTCTTATATCCTTTTTTGAAAATCTAAGCAGTTTGACTATTACTAATTATAATAACACGATGCATCTACCTTAAATAACTGTAGAATTAGAATAAATAACAAGCCCTGAAAGTATTCAATATTAGAAACTATTCTAATACCAATTTTATTCTACACATGTTTGAAGGTAATCATACTAACTGTACAGTACGTTAATGCAGAATAGATTAGCAAGATGAATATACCTTATCTATAGAGTAGTCAACGATGTTTAGTAGCATAGCTTTATTTGCATTACGAAATGTTTCATACTTTTTCCATCTTGTGCCGTAATATTAATTGTAAATAATTTGTATTATATTGCGTGTTGTGTCTTGATCATTCTGTGAAAGAGAATTTTGATATTTATATCCTTAAATATTATCGCATTAATTAGGTATTTCGAAATTAATTTATTGCCTAATTTTAATAAGCGCTTTTGACACACACCTAACTAAAATCTCAAATTTCTATAAAAGGGCATGTAAGCCCAATATTTTATAAAATAAACTTAGTTCTTAAGTTTAATACTAAGGCAAATTCAAAGGCGTATAAAGCACGAAGAATCTGTAAGATTAGGAATAAGTATCCAAAGTGTTTCTTAAACGATTTTAAGTAGAATAATACGTATTTCAGAGCGGGACAAATTATAGATTAAGCTTTTCGTTATTTTGCAACAAAGTCGGCTTGCAACAGTTAAGCAGTATTCTCTTACTGGGTTTGAAATATTGTTGAATGTCAAGATATTATTAGGTATCGCGGAATCCTTACGTTAATAGAATATTACCTAGTTATAGCTTAAATAATGTAGGAGCCATATTGCACTGCATTTTACAAGAGATATGAGAGCGTTTTCTTGCACAAACTAACATTACTCTCAAGTGTAAAAATAAACCATATATTTGCCTTATAAATCCGTTTCTTAGCGGTGACAAGATTATTTTCCTGGAGTCGAATGTGGATTTAAAAATTGAATATGCAAACATTCTAAGATCCAGATGCTATATTACTCTAAACTGCTGTTTAAAAAATACCGGGAGCAGATGTTAGAGCATGCAAGAAAAACAAGGTTAATAATAAGCATCATAACTATTTATTAAGCGTAACTATAAATTAGATATCTATCTGACTTACTAGGTCATACTCAAAATTGGAAAGTTTTAAAATTTAAACTTTAATCTGTTAGCGTTCCAATAAACTTACACAGTACAATATTATTAATACATTTTGGTGTGAAAACGATATATATGACCATAACCATTTCTTTTAAGTACAAAAGTAATGCTTCTGTTAGCAGGCGTCTTTTTCTTATCCTAAATTATGTCCATTGCAGTTGTATATAAAATTAAAGATGTTACGATTCACCGTTCAAATTCGCTAATCCGCTTATGGCTTTGTCTCTATCCACTAGGTCTGCGAAAGTTGCTAGTGAATTTAAATGACTCCGTCATTTGATAGCTACTTTGCTATGAAAATTAACAGAATCGATTGATTTTAATTGATACTCAAGTCTTTATTAAAATTGCAAGATTGCAATACTTGATTTCATCAGCAATGGTGTAGTAAAGGACTAAAAGTAGAGTTCTTTATAGCGTTTAGTATGTAACTAGTACTATTTTACTATAGAAAATACCTAGAAAGTAATAGTGTCTTTAAGTTTTACCCTGCCAAATCATCATGTCGCCATCTTTTCTTTTTCATTATTCTACAAGGTATTATACAGATTACTATAGAAGTAGCCTTAGAGCCAATGCCTAATCTAAAGAAAGGGCGTTTCATCATCTACTCAAATTGTAACAAAATTTGACTTAGTAACAAAACCCTATCCTTGGAGAAAGGGGACTTATGACATGACGGTAAATTACTGTAATGTAGTCTACAATCGTACAGTTACCGTACAACCTGACGCTAAAACATCAACTGTCAATACTCAGCGATACTAATGACAGAAAAGTAGTCGTGATAGTCATATAAAATTTTTTGAAAAAGCGATTACTGTGATCATTATAAAATCCGGATTTTTCGGATTCGGATTCCGGAACCGGTCGGATTTATGTCCGATATAATTTTCCTGTTTTAATTGTTGGATTTTTGTTCATGGAAAATATTGTAAGGGTAGATTTTTTAAATTTGAACTTATTGTTATGAATTTGAAACTTTGGAATTTTATGACGTGACACGAAAGTCACATTAGGAAAGTTTAGTGAGGAAAATAGAAAATAAGATGGAAATTGGCAGAGGTTGTGTTGATTGTTATGTAGTTAGAATGTTATTTTTGTGACTAAATCTTGATATTTAAAGGTTAATTTTTAGACTTTTATAGTGCATTAATGATAGAAATTATGCTAGAAGTGAAGTTTGATGTATTTTATAGTTAACTTGTTGGTTTATAGTGTTTTGTTAGGGAATCGTATGGTAAATTGTGTCTGAACTTTGAATGATTTTTGTTTTCTTAAATGGTGCGAAGTAGTTTTCTAAAACGGATCTTGAGAGCGATTGGTTAGCAAATGTTTAGTTTTAAATACCTCTGACGGCTCTACAATGCCTATAAATGATAGTGCAATTAGAAAATTTAGAGGGAGAGTAGAAGAAGATTGTTTTGAAGAACTTGTTAATTTAAAAGGCCTTCGGGGTCGAATTGTCGTAAGTTAAAACGTTCTTCTTTTTGAAAGGTTGTTTGGTCGTTGACATTTTTAAGTCTGTCACTTATTTTATTAATACTTAAAGCTAAGTATTTGCAACGTTATTCAGTTTATACTTCTCTCAATTTTGTATTGTAATAAATTGTTGTTCGATTATTTCCCCAAATTATATTTGGGGTCAAAGTTTCGTTAAGTCGACCGGAGTTCAACGAAAGTAGAATCAAAGTTTGTTAAAGTTTTGTAGCTTGATCTCTACACATTTCATTTCAATACAGTGGCATATATGTTAGTGTCAAAAACTTATGTTGCGAACTTCTACACTAAACTAATAGATTACTTATGCCTTGCTCCACTACACCTGGAGATCTACTGTATGGTAGTTCTTTACTACTTTCGGCCACACAGGGATAAGACTGTTCTAAAAGCTTAGTAAAGTTTTTATTAGTAGAGTAGCTGAGTACCTTCTCGTACACGATCTAATAAGGAACTCAGGAACTGAGCATTCGCTCGTCCTTTATACCATTCCACTAAATTTATGGTGCACACATAGTAACTTGACAATATAAGATTTACATGATTTGTATAGGGTGCTAACGTGTCGCCATTATTAATATCTACTGTATATAGGCTCTACTAATTAATTGCAAATACAATTATGCCTTTTGTCGTCTAGCAATCTAGACATTAATATTCTTAATTTCAATTATCGCTTACCAATATGATCCATTAGCTAAATACTGACAAAATCTATTTAATTAGCAAGTACGGTGCTTTACTCCGTAACAGTTAGAAAATTAACAGATTAATTAACACTATTTGAAGATAGATATTAACGAGGAGCAAACTGCTCTACAAACACGAAAACGTATCAATTATATGAAACAAGCCAGCATCTTTACTGATTAATTTACCGAATCTAAGCAATAATAACTGTTTCATCACTTTCAGTAAGAAGTTTACAGTTTCAAGCTTAAAGACAACGAAAATTGAGATTTAATAATTTTCTCAATAAATTTCTAAATTTGCTAAAGTATGCTGAATACTGTACTTCCTATGACTTGGCATGTCGTTGCAACCTATAGCTTACTTAATTAATATTATATTAATATGCGCTACAGCTACAGCTAAATTATCATGACGCAGATAATTGACGCGTTTTACATTGTTAATGAAAAAATGACTTTCCTTCTTCTTAGAAAATAATACCGTAGAGTAACGAATAGTTTTCTAGTGATGATAAAATATACTTTTAAGGTGGTGGAAATTTAAATAAAGGACTTTGTCACGTTTTAATATAATGGGTTATAATACTCTTATATAAAATTTATATTCAGTATAGCTATTGTTGATAATTAAAAATTAAGCGTTCGTTGATTAATAATTCAACTATCAAACGATATTGAGATACATTATGCCTTTTCTGCATATTAAAATTTTACCCCAATTCTTTATAAATTAAATCTGTAATAACTTAACAGTGTTAATTCTAGTTAACAATCTAGGATGTTGCTCCTTCTAACAAAATTGAAAAACAAATGTAATCAAATTTTTACTTTCCAAACGAAATCCAGTTATAAACACTGTCATACGGTATCATTTAAACCTATAACTAAAGCATCGAAGAGATAATACTTTAAAGTAAAGCTGGATCTACATCCTTCCTTTCATCAGGTATAAGCGTGTTTCTACGAAGGACTGATAAAACAAATTACTAATTTTCCGAAAATCTCAATTTAAAATTATTAAAATGGCTGGTCAGCCACAATTTTTAATCGATAATTTATCAGTTCTATCGAAAGAAATTGTATGCGAATCCACAATATCTCCAACAGATTATGATCCAAGTCAAGTAAAGATTACCATTATTGCCACCGTGTGTATTGTAATAAGCTTGATTTCTATCCCATGCAATCTATTTAATATCATTATTATATATGTTTCACCGATTCTTCACAACATGAACAACATATTGTTGTGTAACTTATTGTTTATAGATCTTATGAACGGCTTAATCGTTCTTCCGCTGATAACTGTAGTATCGCTGAATAGAAATCATGACTACAACTTATGCCAATTGCAAGGAATCATTCTACATTTAAATTATTCGGCATCTTTAACGGCTTCATTGGCTATAACCGTAGATCGCTGTTTTGCAGTGGTCAATCCATACCGCTATAAATCCTACATTAATAAGAAGCGATGTTTTTTAATAGCCATATGCACCTGGACTGTCCCTACCATTCTTGCATTTCTACCGGTATTGGGTTTACATAAGTACGGTTTGGGAAAATATTTCGCGCCGATTTTCTGTGGAACTTCATTTGACCAATTTGATAATAACCACGTCTTGCAAGCCATATTAAACATCTTTATTGTTGTAATCACAATTAGTATTATAACTTGTTACACCGTTATATTTATTATTGCGTATGAAAAATCGGCACAAGATATTTTGGGAAGCAGCAACATAAAAAAGTCGATTCGAACTACATCTTTAATTGTTGGCACTAACCTTTTATGTTGGTTACCTTTCATGATTTTTAATTTACTTGAATATATCAACCGTAATCATGAAATATCCAACAAGCCAACTCCTTTCAACATTACTTCCTTGCTACTAATGCTTAGCAATGCCGCTGTCAATCCTATCATATATGCTAGTACAAACAAATTCATACGTAAGCGTTATCACCAATTTTTTTCTTCCAAAAATGTGTTTAATATTCATGATCAGAACTTTCAATCTTAACTAAGCAAAAACAGGATAATTTGTTGATTTTTATTAACCTTTTGATAAACCATTGTACATCAAGTGCATCATTTTCTTAATATAAATTGAATAAATTTATTCTCCGATATTGTTACTATAATTAAAGCGTTCTAGTTTGATTCGAATAATGAACTAAAAATTGATAGAGTAAATATTTCCTTCGGTTTAATTGAGGGCTACAATATTAATTTATGATGGTAACTAATTTTTCGTATTAATTTTGAGGAAGAGTCCATGCTCCTTACGTTTAGCAGTTACTGTTATCCAGAATACCATATTTAGGTACTAAAGTAATAAAGCAGACCTTGGCAATTAATGCTTAGGTTATCTATATCATTTGAAAATATTGTAAACTAAAGCATATTTGGAGCATGATTGTAGTATAATTGAAATTAACGAATTTATAGCGTTATTCGATCTAAATCAACAAATTTTGTAGAATCGTTCATTATTTGGATGGGATAATTCCTATCACAATATCTAATTATTTGTCAAAACTTAACCTAAATTAATTAGTTCGATCTTGAGACTATAACTACCTATCGATTAACTTTATATTGACAACTACTAATTTAATTTCAGTTGGGGATCACAAAAATCTAAGAATCGAATGAAAGAAATACTGGATTGCAATTGAGAATTGAATAAGAGTTTAATCCTTGTAGATGAGCAATTTTCACAAGAGAATTGATACATTATCGCCATAAACCATAAAAAATTATTAGTGAATAGCTCAGCAGAATTGCACTTACAAATACTATCCGAACAAAAGCGCATTGTGATAGACTGGCATTATTTATCCGCCTAGTAGATCGTCATAATCAATTACGCTTAAGTTGATTTTCGTTAAAAATACGTATGCATTGAAACGATGTTTTTTTCACTATGTGCCGATTCAGAACAATGGCATGGTATTTAGTAATAAAACATTTGATTTAAAGGTATATCACAATTGGTGATTATCCATTTTCTTCGAGAACTCATAGTCAGGTTCACGATGGTGGAGTAAAAGTGATATTTATACTCGATTTAGAGGTAACTGGAGTAGTAGACAACAAAAGCAATCAAATAGTTTCTTAACGACGGACTTAAAATATTTTAGCAGCAGAGAAAAGCTGTCAAAATAACGGATATTTACGTCTATTATCATTAGTTGCAGATATCGTAAAGAAATACTACGGATCAGTATTTTTAAGATTGTATAACAATAGCACTGTAGTTCACCGCCGTTTCAGCTGTAACAACTTCTGCTATTTACTCTCTGAATGTTTAACCGTAAAGCTTTTCAAATGCAAAATTTTCAACCATATAAAATTTATCATTTTATATAACATACGTAATAATAACATATATGCCAGTATAATATAACTAGTAATATTATTTTTTGAAAGATCATTTCATAATTCATTCATTCAATTATAAATGTAGACATATAATAATTAGTTTATTGACTAAGATATGCTAACTATTACGACCACGTGATCATTTTTTTTACCAAATCTTATAAATATTCTATTCGGGCAAAGAAGTGATTTACTCTGCTCCGTTCTACTGATTGCGTGATCGTGACTACAGAAAAATTTTTTCAAGGTTTTGAAATTATAACTTGCAGGACAGTGTGCAATTTAATACAGGTTTGTTTTTATAATTTATAGTTATCAATTTATTATATGCATTCAATAAGATTAAGGTGAGGAATTAGTCATTTCATAAATGATATAAATTTTTTTTTAAGATTTTTTACTCACGAAAATGAAACTAGCTATTTTAATTTTAATTGATAATTTGTATGAGTAAATTTCTTTAATTAAAAGCTACTCATAAAATCTTTCATAAATCAGCCAATGTATTATTTTATCGACTATCGGAATATCAGTCTAAACTTTAATATAGCTAGCCATGATACTAGCGTTAAAATACAACGTTGTATTTCTGCACATTCAAATACAATCAAGTACTGGGCATTTATCAATTAGGCCTACATTCAGCATACATTTAAAACTATAACTATAGATTATAACGGTAATGGATCTAAATTGTAAATATCTATTGTTACTAGATAAAGTCTATGCTTTAATTACAGGTCAGAACTCCTTCGCGATGTCAGTATCTTTATATTTAAGTGTTATGGTGATCCTTCATAATAGCCCCATTTTACTCCTTTCAATAACTAAATGAGTAGCTCGCTAGCAAATTGCAAATATCAGCAATAGTTTTCAAAGCTGCCGCTTACTAGAAGTGAATATGTATTCCTGCTATTTTCTAAAATCTTGAATTTAAACGGGTTACTACTGTCGATCAAATTATCGACTGAGTTATTTTACAGCAGATCGAAACTTGACCTGTCAATGATAATATCTCCATGATTTCAATCGCTATATGAAGGAAATTTGAAATTAAATATCATTTTTAATTCACTTTTACAATAATTTTAAAAGAAAATAATGTTTATCAATAACAAGATATGCATAAGAATGCTAAATTGTAGTTCTAGTTTTACTATTGATTTGCCAGATTTGCAGGGAATATTTAGGATACAACTAATTGAAGAATCTTTGATCGTTAATTTGGTCTTTACGTTGGTTTAATCTGTATTTTCTCAAGAAGGACTTAATAGTTAAGCTACTTGAACTAATAAATTTTCTTTCGTTTAGACATTGAAAACTATCTACTGTGAAGTTTACTCTAGTAAACGCTAACTTGATTGTGCGTTAACAGCTTTACCAATATTAATAGGACTTGCAACTACAATCTACAATAGTATCCATTTCTAACGGATGTTTTTTTCCTGTTTTTAAAAGTTATTGTCATGTCACTTTCTTTATCGCCATAAAGATGTGATAGCATAAGAGTAAAATGCTAAATTTAGCATTCTATGATCGATTTAACCCCTTTACTGTAAATTCATCGAATGGTAGCCGACATAATATATAAACTAGCGAAATTGTATTACATCTTGTCTTGATACAATTTGACAGACAAAGTTTAATGCAGAAAAAAGCTATTAAGTATCATTTAATTAGGCTTTCAACGTCTGTCTATAGAAATATCTGCTATATAATGACCTTTTTTATTTGAAATCTTTTAAAGAGAATGTCAAAAAGCATTAAATAACAGCCAAGTAGTACGTTTTTAATTCTAACGTTTATTTCTAAGTATCACTAAAAAACTTAATGGAGCCTGAGACTTGACTAGTCTATAATTTAGAATATCCTTCTCGCATCTCTCATTCGGTATGACTCATTGCATTGACCATTCACTCTCATCAAGATGTTAAGTGTATACTTGATGCGAAATGGATGTGAAAATATCTTTCTTTACCGTGTCGTGTAATAATTTTTTCTTAACTGTTAAGACATTGTACACCATATAGCATTCCATTGCAATTTTGTAATTGCAAGTTATGAGACTATTGAGGTTTACGAGCAAGATTCAAGGCATTTGTATCTTTATTTGTTGGACCAGTATTGTTAATTGAAAAGAGCACCATACACCTCTAGAAGTATTCTATATACAAAGCAAATCTTTAAAAATACTACAATATTTAAGAAATATAAGTTAGCACTAAAATCTGTTCATTGTTAAAAATCCTATAATATATCGTAAATTTAGTAAAATATCCCAAATAAATTTATCATCTCCAATACTAAATATCATGAGATAATTTTTTAAAAGTTAAAGAGAATTATTTGCAAGAGTAATTGAAAAGAATATAGAATATCGCAATGGCCTCCTCTCATTATAAAAAGCGTAATATAGTAACAATACTAACTAAATTACTATTCTGCGGGTTATATAGTATAATATGGCATCATTGATTTGATTACAATTATTTACATAAGAGAAAGCCATTCATTAAACAAAATTAAGGAAGCTGAAATATAAAATCACGATAAATGATAGTTAATTGCTTCCTGTCGCTTTACGGTTATCGATTTTAATACCCTTGTATTTATCGATAACATATGATATTAATTACATAGAACTTCAGGTTATTTCCGCGTTGCGCGTACAGCAACTGTAAAATTCGCAAATTTTAAGAAACGGCTCAAGACAAATGCAGCCAATTCTAAAATGTAAAAGTAGCCATTTTAACAGAAATTCGAAATAATTCATCAAAAGCTATCATAAATATTTTACGATAAGTACATTAAATATCATCTTACTGTAATAATTGAATTGTTCTCAAATTTCATGCAATTTACTAAAAAGATATTTAAGTCCAACTAAGATCATTCAATGTACCGTAACATAATACCCTCGGAGTTCATTTCCTTAAATACTATTGTGCTGTACCTATACTGTTAATGATATCCTTTGTACTAGGGTTTTTATATAAATTACTGCTTCCAACGTTAATCCAAGAGTACTTCCCTAAGGGCGAACTGGCAATTAGTAACTGACAACTTCTCAATAGCTTTTTTACCGAAACATAGTGTAGTAGTAAATAAATTTTACTTATATCATACCGTAATAAATCGTGCGTATTAAATTTGAATCAATCAGTCAATCAGCAATTTTTCACATTTTAAACCTAAAATTTGATTAATATATTCTACGTTCAAGTTAACATGCATGTGTTTACTATGTTTTGCGCTTAGATTACTGCTCAATCTCACCTATGACTATTTTTACCTACATTATATCACTTGCTACGGCAGCGTATTGTCTAGCTTTCCAATACTAATCTTCGTGAATAATATCAATAAATTACAATAGCATACTAAATTAAGGAAATTATTATTTATAGCATCTTACATTTTCTGGGATCTATCGTCTTTTACACGATTACGTTAAGCAAAAGGCCATTACAAATGGGAGTACTAGTAAAATATATGCTCGATTATTTCATATCGCCCGTAAGGTTGATAATTAGCTGAGAGTTCCAAATCATTGTTTCGACATGAATAAGAAGAAATGAAACTTCCAGTTCATGAAATTGGGGGTAGCCATTTTTCAGTCGAACTTATTAATCCCTTAGTGACTTAGATAGTTCGAAATTTTATGTTGACAAATATTGAAGGATTGATTGTATGGCAATTCTGAGAGCTTGCACAGGTTACTCTTTGATAGCATTTACATGTTAGAAAGATGAATTTATACTTAATTTCCTTGCAATACCATGCGATACTGTTTACAAACATAAGCTTCTGATGGCTATTTTTAGATAATTGGCCTACAATTTAGCTATAACTAATTCATCGATGCTATCATGTTTAATATCCGTTACTATACAACATACAATTCACGAAAGACTAGTCATTATATAGCAGTTGCTCTTACAGCAAGTGCAAATTTAATCTCGATCATAAAGTAAGAACATTTAATTCATCAATTTATTAATATATTCTTTACGGCAATTCATGCGGTAATACAGATACTCTGCCAAAATAAGCGAACGCGAATCCAGTTAATTGTGAATAATTACGATAAAAGATACTAGCAAGTATGTTTACAATTTGTCATAATTCTATGAGTACGAAAAATTGAATACATATAATATTCAGTAATATCTTAGTGTGTTCATAAATTGCTGTTGTATGCTATTGAATGACAACGACCATCTTTAAAATTAAAAATTGAAAGTTGACAGTGTACAAATAGCACAGGAAGGTTACCGAAAATTTTAACCATCAACAACACTGAAAATGTACACTTTATTCGCAAATGCATGTAGATTTAAAAGTAAGCAATAAAAGTTATCTAGAATTAGATTAATTTCCTGCTTAACTTTTAATTGAGCCTTTCCGCTGAACTGAACATAATTACGATATTCTATTGCAAAATAGCATCTCAGGATACAGTTGAAACTCATTTGAGGTATCGAATAAATAATACTAAAATCTTGCAACATCAATAGTTCAAAATATAATAATTGAAAAGTATTTTATTATAGTTTTCATTTTAATATCACTTATTGTCGCGTGTTGGGCGGCGCAGTAGCAGGTAAGCAAATTCTTATGATGCGGAAACTGATCAAATAGAAATTCTTTTTTCGCTTTAAGTTCAGCTAACTTGCATATAAATTAAGAGCACTGACGTATATTCCATACAATAAATTCAAATATTAATTATTAGAATTTATCTTTACAACAAAGGAACTAATTTCCTGTTATTATATGCCATACTTGTTCAATATAAATGATTTATTATTTCTTCGAAAGAAGATTTCAAAAAATATTTATGACTTCTGAATTGATAAAATAATTTGCACATACTGTTAATCTAGTGTGCTGAAGATTAACGAGAATGATACATTAAATGCTATCGAATAGTTCTGACAGTATCAGGAAACCTTTTGATAATTAAATAACTTTACGCGTTAAATTGATGTTTACTCATGTTGATAATTAATTTAAGAAAGATTTTATCTGCTTTTTCAGTTAAATTTCATCAACTGCAGAAGAACATCTAATTAAAAAAAATCATGGCTAATAGGATTTAAGGGCGGCACTTATGTGAGGAGTCTTTTTTATCATACATACTTCATAGTTCTAGTTAGCAGTGAAGCAACAAATCAAACCAAAGATTATGGCCAACAGCTTGACCACTACCCAGATAAGCCCACCACTTACACAGTTTAATACAAGTGTCTTAAATTTGGCTACCAACCAATCAATATCTAGCCCAAACATACAATTCATATACAACCCTGCGAAAGCCGTCATATACGCTGTTGTTCTATCTATTTTCAGCATGATATCCATTCCACTTAATCTATTTAATTTAATCACCTTGTATCGTAATCCTATCTTGCACAACATGAACAATTTGCTCATTGGAAACCTAGCTTTAGTCGATTTTCTAAATGGACTGATTGTTTTACCACTTATTATTCTTACATCGCTAATAGGCTATCCAGGCCATTTCATATGCCAATTACAAGGATTTTTCGTACTTATGCTGTATTTGGCTTCGTTATCGTCTACATCAGCAATTAGTGTTGACCGTTTTTATGCAGTTATCAAGCCCTTTCGTTATAGTTCCATCATTACTCCTAAAAAATGTATCATTATAACATTATATATTTGGCTTATACCGTTAATATTTGGGATTACACCTACGCTTGGATTGCAAAAATATGGTTTGGGACGTTATTTTCTGCTATATTTTTGCGCGATCTCTTTTGAAAAATTTCAAGAAAACTACTTGATACATGCCTTACTAATGTTTTATATTATTATTATTATGTTTGTGATCATGCTTAGCTATGGAATTATGTTTTATGTGGCTTACCGAAAATCTGTACAAGATTTAACTGCGAACAGTACGTTAAGACGATCAATTAGAACTACGGTCTTACTGGTAGGAACAAATATTATTTGTTGGCTTCCCTGGCTGGCATATAGTGTTGACAGTTACCAAACACGTAATATATTCAATCTTGATAAACCTACCTATTTAAATATTGTGTCCTTATTACTTGTATTCAGCAATACAGCTATGAATCCTGTTATATATTCCTTAACAAATAGTCAATTACGTGCAAAATTAAGAAAAATCTTACCGAGTTTCAATTGATACTTTATACGTTATGTAATACTTAGTTACCAATTTAATACTTGAAAAGTAATAAAGAGCATGTTAATAGTTTATATAACGAACATAATTATCTTTTCAT